AATCTAAAATGCTAAAACATAAAAAATAGCCAAGTTGAACACGGTAAGCTTACTTTATTTTTGGCATAAAAACTTAATTTACTCAGTATTGTGAAACTGCATTACTAGATTTTTCTTTAACATTTTACATTTTTTATATGTAGTTTGTATTACTTGAAGTATCAGGAGTCATTTTATCATTTATTTGGAAAAATATTTTTATTGAAAGGTTTGGATAGTAATTATATGTATTTATAAAAGATGAGTTTCAGCTAAATCTTTGTAACTAGTATTGTGAGACTTCTTTTAACTAAAAACATGTAAAACCATACGTGATGATTTTTTTTTTTATATAAACATCATTATACACACATATTTACTTTCACTTGGAAGCTGTTATTAATTATCAGTTTAAGTAGGTAATTTCAAAATTTTGCAAAAATAAAGAAGGTATTTTGAAATTCGGCTTTGAATCCTAAACTCTTTGTTTTTAGTATCATACTTGTCTTATGAGATTTAAATGAACTAAAGATTGTCTGATAACAGATAAAGATAAAGAAGGGAAATTTGGGGATAGACGTTTTTTATTAGGGAAGAGAGTTGATTTTTAATTGGTTGGGATTGCAAACCCATAAAAGGAAGGGAGATAAAGAAGGGAAATTTGGGGATGGTGTGTTTAATGGCTGATGGTTGGATTTTGTTGTTTAGGAAATTGTGTGTAAACTTTGTTAGAAAATCAATCGGATAGCCATTATTTAACATGTGTTTATGTAGAAGGGTAATTTCTTCATGTAAAATAAAATAATTAGAACAAAGATTAAAAATTCTGTTCAACAATGATATAACCAAATTATCTTTGAAGAAGTTGGTGATAAAAACTATTGAAATTGGTGTAGAGGCTAATAAAAAGTTCTTTTATGATAAACAGAGGTAGAAAAGTATTTACCTTTTTTTTTTTGGTAATCCTGATGTTTAAGAAAGGTAAAAAATCATTTTCTTTGAGTTCGAATGTGAGTTGGATATTGGGGTGTTGGGAATTAAGGTAAGAAAGGAACTTGGGAATGTGGCTCGATTGTCAAACAGCAAGAAAGTGTCATAAAATATAGCATTTGTAAAGGATAGGTTTGAATTCACGTGGGCAGTTTTCTAGTCACTTGTGTTCATGATAGCATAGAAAACTATTGGCTATCATCGGACCCAGCGGGGATTCCTTGACAATTCCATCAACCCGGTCGTAAATTATGTCATTAAAGAGGAAATGGTTTAGCTTTGTAGAGAGGACAGAAAGTTCCAGGAATTGTTTACAGGTGAAACCAAGATACTGTTCAGTGTCATTGGGAAAGAGAAATTCCACAATTGAATTTAAAGTTTCATCATTGGTATATAGTTTTGATATTGGCACCAGTTCTTCTCATCCTTCCATTTTCTATCAATCTGTGTTCTTAACATGGCTTTTCAACCAGAGCTGGTCTGTCTTGACTATTGTTAGTTATTCGGCATCTCTTGACTACTTTCTGGTTTCCCATTACATTGTATTTTTTCTCTCCAGCCCTTTCTGTTCTTCCAGCCTACCTGACTAGATTTTTAATGTTGTTCTCCTTTTTCTTACCCTACCTGTCTTTGAACCTTTAGCTTTCTTTTTCTTTATACCATCTGTTCCTTAAAACTTATTTCCTCCTCTTCCTTGCCTTTGGCCATTGGCATTCTGATGTGTATGCCATTGTTTCATCTCGCATTCAATTCCACTGCTCCTATATCCTTCTTTCTCTGGATCATGCTTTTCTCCCTAAAATTGTCTGTGGCATATAGGTTGACAGTGTATTCGCTGCTGTATCTCTTTATTCCTATTTGGATTCCATCCTCTGTTCTGTTTGTGCAGTCCATTTGATTTTGTACTACACTTCTTCTTTTTGTGGTTCCCAATCTCATCTCTTCTTTCTATGGAATCCTTCATATACTTGTGATCTTTCTTGTATTACTCTCACTTGCTGGGTCTGGCAGTTCATCTATTTAGGATATTCTTCATTAGATGGAGAAGCATGTTGGTATTTCTAGATGTCCTCCCATCAAATTTGTTACCTAACTCACCCATTGGCTGCTCACTTCCATCATCTGTTAAAGAGGACTGTTTGGGCTGGCGTGTGGATGATCTGCACACCTTTGTTACACACTATCTCCATTATCTGGCTGTTTCTTCCTTGTCAGGCTACAGACTGCCTCCAGTTGCTATTCTTTATCCCATTTCTGACTGGCTAAATCTTTCTTTTTTTCTTACTCTCTTTTTACAGACTTTTTTAATCTCTTAAAGGATCCTTTCCCAGGGTCAAATATTACCTGCCAGGGTATACTCAACCAAAATCTGCACTGTTTAGGGCCATCCTGGCCCAATATAGTGCTCACCCATGAGGTGGGGTGTTCCACAAGACTCCCAGAGGTATTCTCACAGTGCTCATTTTCCTAAAAAAGGCCAGATCCAGACTGTACCAACTCGTGGACTAGCATGAGTAAAGGAAGTAGAAGATTCCTGACCATCCTTCATACCTAGTTTAAATCATAGTGCTGGCCTGCTTTTAAACATAGGGTGTTCATGGTCACCTGTTGGTTTTTTTTTTACAGTGTGCCCTCCTTCGAACTTCCCATCATACCTTCATTTTCCCGTTTTTCTTCTAGTGGAGTGTGGAAGTCCTTGCCACTCACCATTTTTTAGCTGCTGGGGTGGTGGTCCATGGAGGATGCCTCCTGAATGTGACCTATTTCACTCAGTAGAGAGTAGGGTGATGGTGTTCTTTCCATGCAGTACAGTTCACCCCTTTGGCTGGCTTTCCTTCATCCTACTGCTACCTGATAGTCAGGTTCTCTGGTGATCAATTGGTGCAGGACTAGCCATTATGTCCTCAATCAGTTGCAATGCAGATGCTACTTTCCTGTTCTGCCTCACTGGGCATGAGGTGGAGATGGTTGGGAAAAGGATCCTACTTCTACCATGGCCTGGAAGCCAGATTCCTTGTACTGCCTGGTTTTGGATTGGATTGACCCACCACATACAATACGACGTAAGCTATCCCTACTACACATATAGCACTTCTGAAAGCCTGATGCAGGTTATGAATTGTGCTTGTATCTTCTGCCCATCCTTGTGACACTTCCTTTCTGGATGAAGAGTGTACTCTGTTACAGATAAGGTACAGTCTCCCATGAGACTATACTGTTCCAAGTTATTGTGTGTTTTACTACATGGATTCTTTTCAGGTGTTTACTGAAGGGTGCTCAGTTAGGTAAAATTTTGCATTGGTCCCTCCACTACTTCCACATGGGATTCTTGTTAGAAATGATTGGAGATTATGTACCATATTGGAAGTTAACATTTTTCAACACTGAAAATGTATTTTCGATAGATACTCACCTCCCTCACCCTTCTTCCCCAATTCCGGTGCATCTTACTTTCTTGCCTAATGTTGAAGTGATAATTGAATAATCAGTATAGAAGGAGCCAACTCCTATTGGTGGAGGGTTTGTCGCATGTCATTTATTTGCAATATCATGTGGAAACATGTAAGATTAAGTGGGAGCCTTGAGGCAACTAGTGAGCAAAAAGTTTACATATAGAGGGTAACACTGAATTAGGAAAGCTAAATGTGAGAAGAGGGGAGTATCTATCAGAAATACATTTTCTGTGTTGGAAAATGCTAACTTTTAATATTATTTAGGATTTTCTCACTTTAATAAATTATTTTTCTTATGGTACAAGAGAAACTACCATTTTTTGAAAAGGAAATTATTGGGTAATTTTCATTCAAAAAATAACCTGGGAAGTTTATTAAAACAGTTTTTCCAACAGCTGTAAGTGAATACCATGCTGTTTTTTTATTTAAATTTTTCTCTCTTTGTATGCCTATGTTCTTGCTCCTCATCCTGAGACAGTAAATTTTTGGAGTTTCAAAAGGTGTTTATATCACCACAGTTAAAAGTTTTTCATCATCAAGGCAACCAATCTGATGGATGTCACTTAGTTCATGTAGCTATGTGGATTTCACTACAGACATTGGAAATAGCTAAAATTTTGTCATCATTATGCAACCAATCTAATGAATGTCACTTGGGTAATGCCATCATATGGATTTCAACACAGATTTTGAAAAGCAAATAATAAAACATTAACTGTTCATGATAAGATGAGTCTCAACTACTGTTGCAAAAAATAAGTATGTAATGAAAACTATAAAAACAGTATTATATTATATCAGTAATTAGATGATTTTTCAGAACTTGCTACTGTTACTAATAATGGAAAGATTGTATTTTAAAATTGACTAAAACATCCCAATGATACTTCTTATATTTTCCATCACAGTTCATGATTACAACTACCTGAGATGTTTGTGCATTTTAAAATTGACTTAAAATTGTTTTAGAATACTAAACTTGTCATTAAGTACAGGTTTTTAATTTCTTACCATTTTAATCACTGAATGGATGATATTAATGTTTTCAAAGTTTCTTCTGAGAAGTAACCTATAAAAGCATTTACAAATAAAATTTTGTTTTTCTGCTATGCGTGTATATTGAATAAGATTTTTTCATTGTCTTGAATGCATTATTGACCAGTCTTTGTGACCTATACTTGTCTGCTTTAATATACATTTAGTTCATGTCAATATTTATGTCACGTTCTTGTATTTTGTTGCCTGTAATACTATCATATAATTGACATGTTTTTTATCCAATAGGAAGAACTATATTTACCTTATTATTTATTATTTTATCTGGCATGGATACTGCTGATAAAGAAATATCCAGTTTTTGTTTTAATGCTGTTTAACTTAAAATTTTTCTACTGTGTAGTATTTCTTGATTTTTTAAATATATATATTTTGTGAGTTTTGACCACTTCAGTTGTTATGTTAAATATTCAGTTAAATAGAAGCACACTACAGACAAGTTACATGCTTAAACGAATATCATTTTTTCTTTACTTTTGTTAAAGTGTAACTGATAAATGTAAGTGATTAGTTTTTGTCAGTAAAGGAGTTGTGGGTTTTTTTATTTTATGTGTCTTTCATTTAATTGTTTTTCTATTAATTCTGTTTTGATACTATCATGGTTTTTTCAGACTTTACAGAACTTTATGTTCAGTATGCTGAAAGACCAGAATGCCATTGCTGTTAAGATGTCTCTTGTAAGTATTGTATTATCAAGGTGATAGAATATCACAACATAGTAAGTTATAATCTTGCATGTGATTAATTAAGAATTTGAATCAACAGGTAAGGTGTAGTTGGAATACTATTGTACACTCTTTATACTGATAGTGTGTATTGGGCTAAGAAAGAGTGAAATGGTTAAAAATTCCTCCGTTGTATTATGATAATTTTTTGTATGTGTAACTGAGTGTAACAATGTGGAGTGAATTTGTTTAATTTTTCTTTTGGAGACAGCAAATATCCATATGATACATTAATATCAAATTGATTTAGGAGATTAATTATGCTTTAGATGGTTAGTATCAAGTATAGAGAATCAACAAATACTGGACATGAGGCTATAAAGAAATCCAGTAGATCTTGTAAGCACAAATATTTTACCATTGTGTTTATTATAAACATTGTATTGCCTATTAAAAAGAAAATACAAAAATAACAACATGTTTGTTGCAATTCTACAAGATGCAGAGTAACATATCAATCTAAGATTAATAGAGTTGTTGCATGTATATATATATATATATACATATATTGCACAGAATGTTAGCTTTATGTGTCACATACTCTATTTTAGTATCAAATAAGCTCTTCCATACTTTACATTATTTGAAAGTATCAGTGTCAGTATCTCAAATATAATTCTTTCCGCCAATTGCAAAAATAAAAGGCTTTGACTTATACTTCTTAATAGTATAAATATATATACTGTGTTGTTTTTGGGCTTCTTCTTCAGTAGGTGTCTGTGACTTGTTGGCAATAAATTAACAGCACGCACTTCACTGGTTTTCAAAATAATATATATACATATGTGTTCGGAACAAGTTAAATGTATGTACAACAAATTCTTCACACTATACAGATTATAGGCATATCATAGACTATATATATATATAGTTCTCTTCTTCTTGTCAAGAGTCCACTTAGGCCTGTTCAATTACTTTAGAATTTTAGTTGACAAGCCAAACTATCTTCTCTATTAGTACTACTATCACACTAGTCTTCTGTGTGTGATTCACTTACAATTGTGGTGTGAGTTACCATAATCGTTTGGTCTTCTTTCTTCTAAATATCCTCTGTTCTTTTTTGCCAAAGTGCACTCAGGCTGATTCAATTACTCTAGAACCACACTTTGATAGAATAAGTTATTTTTCTTATCTCCTTTTCTACTGTTAGTCTTACTCTATCACATTAAACATTAGGCCTATGTTAATCATTAGGCCTATCGCTTCTGTGGTAATTAACTTTACGCTTAACTTTTCCTTGCCTGTAACTTTACTCTTTTTTGCTATTATCTGTCTGCTATTGTCTGTCTCGCACTATTTATTTGTTTGTCACTTAATTTTTTGTCTGCCTTCTAGAAATCTGTATTCTCAACGTCAGTGTATTGCACATGCCTTTTGATAGTCTCAACATCACTGACTTATAAACACAACTTCCTATAATAGCCTGATTTTAATTCATATTATAACCCAAACTAAAAAATAATACAATATTCACTCACAAAAATATATTAATCAATGATATATAAACTAAAGTCTTTTATATCATAGCAATCAGAATCACTCAATGTTTTACTGCTTTTAATCTTTTCTTCATCTTGTAAGATAAGTGAACACATGTATCTCCTATTGCCACACTGTTATTTTCTAATTATAATTTTTATACTTTCCCTTTTTCTAGATAGAGCATGTTATTTTGATTTAATCTGTTGTGAAACATTATAATATTTTTTTCAGTATGAATTAAAAATAGAAACTTGTTTTACTTTTTTTTTCATGTCTATATTTTTATGTATCTTCATTAGGATATAATGATTGACTTGTACAAGAAAAACATATGGAATGATACAAAAACAGTGAATGTTATTGCTACAGCTTGTTTTTCAAAGATTGTAAAGGTAAGTATAATTTAAAAGCAATTGATTTTACATATGAAACAGTGTTTATATGAGAATTATTCAGACATTGTTACATTTATTTTAACCTAGCCTTATTATCAGAGTTGAACTTGTTGACATAATGAAATTTTTAAAAAACATTTTTGACCAAAAAAGCTGTTTCTTTAGTTTTGAAAATTTCTTGAGGGGTTCTGTTGTCTTATATGAATTTTTTGAGAGTTTCTGGTTATTTATTTTATAAAAACAATTGTAAATCTGTTGGCATGAGAAGAACAACAAATCGATTAGATTTGATTAATGTTATTAATATGGCCGGTTTATTTGTGGAATTTGACAATTGGCTCATTAACTCTCTGACTATGGGCTTGGTCGCAGGGACTGACTTCGTAACCATTTTGTGCTTGTTATAGTTTTCATACTATAAATTTTAATACCGTATGCATATCTTCATAAAATTTTGCAGATTATCAGTAAATATTTTAAGGCTTTCATACACAAAATATCAGATCTTTTTTTAAGTTATAAGATTTTTAAGTAACGATTTGCTTGTACATTTTTTCTTTTTGATTGTTGACTATTCAACATATAAAGTAATTTTGATTTTAAAATTAAAAATGCTTTTATGCATCAGAAAATTGTCATATTTCACATGTGAAACCTTTATAACATCCTAATAACCTCCAGGTATTTAACAAACTTTTTTTTTTTTTACAAAAACTAAATTTTATCTGTTATTTTCACTACTGTATGGGTTTGGTTGATTTGACTACAAATTATAACACAGAAACCACAAATGTTTAGTCGAAATAACTTAAATGTTGTAACATTATACATCTATATATATTTATTTAATATATATATATATATATATATATTATTTTATTGGCCTTTTAACTGTGTCTAACTAACATTACAGAAGTTGCAATGATGCGGCACATGTGCACTCATGTTATTGTATCCAAAACTGGTCTTTACAAAGTGACTTGTCTTGGCTTTGTTCCAGTGGACCAGTATTTTGTAAAATCAGTCACATTTTGGTTATAATACATTACATATGTATATATACATTATTACTATTACTATTTACAAGTATGGTCTTAAATTTCAGTTATTTTTCTTAAAACATAGAACAATAAATATAGAAATATAGAAAATAACAATCTCTTTTAGTTACGAACTTTGTACTCACTTGCTGCTTGTCATAATTTGCTAAGCCTTGTCAAATTTCACACATGTAGGATATAAAACAAAATAATTTTTTAGGTTTTATAAATGCATTTTAAAATAAAAAATAATCAATTTATCAGGCTTAGTGACTAAACTGTACTTTTGTCCATTATCTCTTACCTCTCCACATGATTCTACCATGAAAAGGAAGGTTTTCCCATGTAAAGACTTTAAAAGGACTGAGAAAAACCACATTGGGGGGGGGGGCATTCTGAGATTTTGATTGATTTTATATATACACGTCATACGGTGAAGTGGGTGTATGTAAGCAAGTATTTCCAAAAATTGAAGAGGTGGGTGGGGCCACCTTGGTTGATTCATTAAATATAATAATATTTCAGAAAATGGAAAAGATAGGAGGTGCATATTTTATATTATAGCTTGTCAGTATCAGTAATTTGAGTTTCTGATTCATAATAAACTATAGACTTTGTATTTGTACATCACAAACATCTAATTTCAACCAAAGTTGCATTCAATATACCACGTGACACACAGAAGTCAATATTTAGGATTTTTTAATATTTACTTTTAAATTAAGAAATTAACCAATGTATAGTACTAAATTTGAATTATAATCTACAATTTGATACCGAACTTAATGACATAAATTCATAAAATAGTAGTTCAATAAAATTTTGAATGTAAGAACAAACATCATGACATGCCCTTTGACCCCTTGCCATAGAAAAACTCGTAGTGATAGGGTTAGTTGATTTCATTCAACTAATCAGCTACTTTCACATGTGACTTGGATAGTTGGAATAATTGGAAATTAGCTGAATATTTTTGTTACATTATTCAATTGAATTGTAATTATCATTAATCATCTGTTTTATGTTACAATAATCAATGTAATAAATGCTGATAAGTATAACTATATCAATTAATCAAGTTAATTGCCAAGCCTTGTCTCAAGAAATAGTCTAAGCTAGATTTTTTTAATCACATGATGAATAATTTTTTCTTTGTTAGTGAAATGTTTTTGTTGGTATTTAATGCTTTACTAATGTTATTTGTTTGAAATGATAGAACACAGTTAGATAAAAAAAATATGAATGAGTCTGTTCAGCAAAACCTCTTTGTTATGAAATGGGCTACAATTTTTTGAACAACTGAACACTTAACCTTACCATTATGGGCTGGGTGGGATCCACCCAGCTTGTAATCACGAAAGTATCCATGAGAGTAATTATACTATGGTTTTTGATAATGTATGCGTATCTTTACAAAATTTTGCAGGTTACTAGTAAACATTACAAGGCTTTTATATGCAAAATATAAGGTTTTTAAATTAAGTAATAAGATTTTTTAAATTAATGTTGACTATCCAACATGCAAAGTAATTTTGATTTTAAGATTAAAAATACTTTTATGAATCAGAACCTTTTAAAATTTCACATTCAAAATCTTTATAACCTCCAGATAATTATCAAATGTTTTTTAGAAAAAACTTTATATTATGTCTGTTATTTTCACTTTTGTATCTCTGTACAGGTTGGGTCAACTTGGCCGACCTCATAACCACCATAAAAAATTTGAAATGAATATAAATTATGCTTTTTTTGTTATAGAGTGAATACAGATTATAACATGAAAACAGAAATGTTTAGTCTAAATAGGTTAAATTTCATAACATTATACATTTATATATATTTATTCTTTTTATTATATTGACCTTTCAGCCATGCTTGGTTAACATTATAGAAGCTGCAATGACGAGGTGCACATGCACTTATGTTACCGTATTCAAGAATATAAAACTGGCCTTTATAAAGTGACCTGTTTTGGCTGTGTTTTAATGAACTAGTATTTTGTAAAATACAGTCACATTTCAGTTATAAAACATTATATATGTATGTACATTATCACTATTTACCAATAAGTTCTTAAATTTCAGTTTTTCTTAAAACATAGAACAGTAAATAAGAATTATAGAAAACAATTATCTCATGCTTGCAGTAGGTTGCTAAACCTTATCAAATTTTGCACGTGGAGTATGTGAAACAAAATAATTTTTTTAAAGTTTTATATATATATATATACATTTTAAAATAACCAAAAATTGTAAATTACTGTATCAATACCAAAGAATTCCACTATAATTTATCAAGTTTAGTAACTAAGCTGTATTTGGATATAAAACAAATATGAAATTTTGAGCTCACCAGTCTTACCATACCACTTGAAATCTGTCATCAGAAGAAGGATTTTGCCCCCAGTTACTTCAAAGAGGCTGAGAAAGCTACTAGGGGGACATTCTGAACTTTCGATTGGTTATTCACATGTCAGAAGTAGGTTTATGTCAGCAAGTTTTTCCAAAAACAGATGTAGGTGGGTAGGGCCACTGTGTTCAGTAAATGTAGCAATGTCTCAGCGAATAGAAAAGATAGGAAATTCTTATTTTGTATTCTAGCTTGTCAATATATGTAATTTTAGCTTCTAATTTATAAGAAATTGTAGACTTTGTATTTGAACATCATAAATATCTAATTTAAACCAATGCTGCATTCAACGTATCCATGTGACACACAAAAATCGATATTTAGGATACATTCATAAAATAGTAGTTCAATAAAACTTTGAATGTGAGTCTACAAATGCGATGACATGGCCTTTGACCCATGACCATAGGAAGACCCATAGAGATAGAGTTAACCAAGAAATTTATTTTTCATTTGGTTAATATTTATTTCCATACATACATATATAATTAAAGCCTTAACAAAAATTATGATATGTGTGTGTATGTGAATACATACTTATCAAATCAGTGGAAGATGATGTATTAAGTTGATTAAATGGGGAGAGAATTTTTCTTTATAGCTTTTTTAGCAATTACTTGTATAAAGTTACATTTATTTCCGTATTGGTTGAAGACTGGAACTTAACCTTTTTGATAGTATTTTATGATTTTAAGCTTTAATACAAAGCATCATTGTCTAATTAGTGGAATCATTTTAATTCAAAATTGAGGAGAAGCTGGATTTTTGGAATAATTTAATATTCATTTCAAAGAAGTTGAGCCTAAGGTAAATCTTGTTTTAGCCATATTTTTAAGATATTGTTAGTTTTATATATCTTTAAGTTAAACATGTAACTTTATCAGTATGAGGTATATTGCATACACCAACTTTGATTCGTTCACATGTTTAGGTCTGAAATAAGATTCACTTTCTTTTTGTAGTTTTTAATTTAATGGTTTTGAAATAATTAGAAGTTGCAAAAGTACCTTCATTTTTATTGCAAATGTAATTTGTTATATAAAAACAACAACATGGATGCATAGAATTAAAATAACACACACCAATGTAGTGAAAAAATGGAACTTTCAGTAATGTTAATAGTTAAATGAAGTATATGTTTTCTTTAGAAATCTATTGATATCTAAACATTAGGTTTTAGTAAATAATTATAGTCTCAATCAGGTTTATTTTAGCTGGACATAATTATAATTGTCTGGTGCAGTGATGATTTGGTTATTTCAATATAACTCAAAAGGTTTATATTGTTACATTATACACTGTTTCATTATGACCTGTTACAGTATTCTTTCATATTTATAGCAATAACTAAAGTATTCATTCCATTAGTTTTTTCAATAATTTCATGTTATTATTAATAATTAAGTGATTCTGTATTTCATCTTTAGTATTTTAATCTTAAAGGAGAAGAACAATATGTTGAAATTTTTTTTCCTGTGGCATTTTTCACTGTCTTTTATTTTGTGCATATATACAATTATTATAAATATTTTGTAATGGTAGTTTTCA